CCACGGGTTAGATAAGGATGGCATGTACCGCTTCTATTCAAAACCTAGCAGTTTGCTTGAGGCAACTTAAAGGAGATCATGGGTTTTTTTATGTTACGGTTAGGTTTATGTCACAGAAAAATTTGCTTTTCCTGAAATTTATAATAAGGGCATGTATTTTAAGTGGGAGGGACCCCCTGTATAGGCGGCCGTACACGTCAGCCATATCAAAGTATTTTTAGGACTGTCTTTTGGGGTCCTATCGACCTTTGACGTATACGAAAAAAAATACTTTTATAATTTCAGTAGCCCGACTTTTCTTTTTCCCGTCAAATTCCGCCAATAGAAAGTCGACTTTCCAGCAATAGGCAGCAACAGCAGTTTATGATGATAGAATTGACTATAGTTTATTCATGAAAACAATTATAAGGGGTTTTAATTAGTATTCATTGATCACTTAACACAATTAAATATTCATTTACATGCGTTAACCAAGAATAAAATGCTTCACCACCAATTCCGGAAGAGAGTTGGACGGGGGAAATAAATATTTAGGCAGCCCTAAAAGGTAGTTTTGCCATTTATTTCTATAAAAGTGCACGATTGGTAGTTTTCAAGCTCTAGGAAGAGATTATCATGGAAGGAGCAAACATCGATCTGGTTACAGCTCTGGACACGCTAAGTCTCCTTTGTCTAGCCCAAATTGGTTTTTATACCTTTTATGTCCGTGCCTTCCTGATACGGTGTTAGGCCTTTTGCTCGATGACCAAAGAGTAAGTTCCGAATTCCAGGTTATCCTAATCTTTGGTTGGGGATAGCTGACTGATGACATCTAAGGAACTAGAAATGGGCACTCCAGACTGTCTTGTCTTTATGGCTATTATTTCTGCATGCAAGAGTTCATACTCACGTTTAAAGTTAATGTAGTTTAACAAAGAGCAACAGTATCTAACTACTCAAACATAACATTTCACAAGGAAGTACATTTTCGAATAAAATGAATCAACAACGGACGGTTGGATGAGTTGCTGACCAGTGTTTCGTCCGTACGCATTTTCAGGTTGCAGAGAACGAGTACGCAAAGTCCACAGACCAGCTTCTTTTCATTGATGAACTGAAACCAATAGAACTGGTGTTCTGTCTCAGTGCGGTCAGCTGTTGGCCACCTCCCTACGTGGAAGACTTTCATGCTAGAGAACAGTCTACTTCATTGACGGATGGGCCGGCTGAAGCAACTGACCTTGAGGTGGATCAATTGGATCCTCATGCGGGAGATCGAAAGGAGGGTGAAGGTTAGTTCTCTCTACCTACTCAACAGTAAGCATTTCGACTACTTCAGGTCAACTTTATCCGATTCACAAACGATAAAGCTGCCCTTGGTAACGAATGGTCCTACGGCCTCATTTGGTGGCTACTTGAAAGATTTTAGTAGTCATGATTGCGCCGACTTGCATTCAATTGGACAGGGGGCTTGAGGGCTGATTGCGGGGTTCAGATTAAAGTAACTTTGCGATTAGGGAAAAGGGGTGCAGTTTAAGAGCGTTGAGTTAGCGATGGGTTTTTAGAATTGGAACTAGGGTA